TTCTCTCCCTCCCGGTGCTCGGGGGGCTCTCGGCAAAGCTGGACAGCCCTTCCAGGAAGAGGCGTCCCCTGGGGTCGCCATGAGCCCCCTAAGGGGTGGTGCTTGGGCTCAAAACAGCCCCACTTCTGTGCTCAGGCCCCCATCCTGGCTCATAGTTTAACTGGAAGGACCTCTGGGCCCGAGTGCCGCCGACTCGGCCGCCCAGGAGGAAGCGGCCGTGGGAACAGGAGCCCTGGCCCCGTTAGGGTGGGACCAGCCCGGGGGGGTGGGGGAGGCAGGATGGAGGGGAAAGGGGGGGACAAGCTCCCTGCGTCCAAGCTTTCCTTCCTCCTCTGACCTTTGGGGAAACACTGAGGCGGTTCTTACGTCCGTGGCTGTCTGCCTGGGGAAGGTGGCTCCTCACACCCCCACAGCGCGGGGGCCTGGGGGCGGCCAGGGCGGGACCCCGGGCACTGGGCCGGCCTGTGGGCTGCGCGCTTCACGCCGCATGGGAGGGGGCTCTGGAGAGACCCCGTACCGAGCCCAGGGGCCTGGGGGAGGCACAGAGCCTGGGACAGAAAAGGCAGGTGTGATGAGACTCAGAGCCAGGACGGCGGCCCCCCAGGAACCCCCTTCTCCCTGCCCCCCACACCTCCGCGTGACCCCACCCTCCACCGCAGGGCAGCGGGCCCCCACCTCCAAGTTCTCTACCAGCCAAGCATCAGGCCTGAGACCTTCCCATGACCCAGACCCCCCAGTCCTTGCAACCTCCTTCCACTGCCTTCCACAGTGTAATTCATAACGTGCACATTAAAATCCACTTAAAAGCCGATCAATGGTTCTCTCTCATCATTGACGCTTCTACCTCTCCTCCTTTCCTCTCTGAAATCACTAAAAATATATGTAAAAAAAGAAAGAGGCGTGGGGGGTTGGGCAGCATCTCTGGACTCCACCGCGGGGCCATCAGCACCCCACCCCCGGCTGGGACACGCAGAAAGTCTCCCGCGGTCACCACGTGTCCCCGGGGCACCCCCCCCCCAGAGTTGGGGTCTCCACCATCGGTTTATTTCTTTCTTTTAAAAATATGTTTATATTGCTTTTCAG